CTGATTGCTAAACGTCGCGGACGAGTGATTAGGGCTCCTGTTTCGTGTTCGGGAGGTCCCGGAACGGAGACAGGGTTTCTTGTGGTTTTCCTCAGTCCCTCGCATAGGTATTAACCAGTTCAAGAACAATGCATAGCTCTGTACTTTGCCCACAAAGTACATTTATATGTTTTATATTATTATCTGAACAAACAGCGGCCATTTCTGTAAACAGCATTAAGCAATCGATATTTGAAATAGATACACGTTGTGTTTACTTTAAGGTAGGAAATGGATCTTTAAATATTATTGAAACGAGCTTCAGTCTCAAAGCGTTAATAATGTGTATGACTGTTAATTATTAGTATTAACTAAAATTGCAAGTTGCGTACTAATCTTATTTTACATCCCCAGTCTGTTAAAGTCCTCTACGTTCTGATGGAATGTAAGTTATATTTTCATAATTTTCTCAAGGCTTAAAAGTATCCGGTTTGATTAGATATAGGCCCATTACTTCTTTCCCACTGCTGATAACCTCTGTTTTTTGTGCATCACACTCGTGGGGCACAAATTGGAATACGCGTCTGTGGCCTGAACTCAATTACAGCAATAGATCTCTCCAGACTGCAAAGAGTTTGAAGAAAAATTGCTGCCTTATGCTAAGCGCATTTTTGTAGGCATGTGTTACAATAATCATGAAGGTATCTGTCAACACTTTATTCCAGGTTGTGGCATCTGAATGTCTTATTCCTTATTAATATTTTAACACAAAATCACTTGTTCTCTTACTTTTAAATCTGCCAATACAGCTGACACACACCTACTAGGATAAATAACAGTCGAGCAGGAGAGAAACGTTGACCCTGGAAGAGCTGAACGACCCTGACGTCTGATAGCTGTAAATCTGTGGCTAGAAAACTGTCAGCTGTAACGTGTTCCTTAAAGTGCCTTATTATGTAGAGTTAAATCCTAAAACTTTAGCACACAAGATTTTCATGTTCACTGCCAAGGTCAAAGCGTTTCTCCTGTGAAACATACAATACATTTATGGAAACACAATTTCAAGGTCATTCCCACAGCTAGATGTGTTTCTGCTGTCAAAGCTATTTCCAAGAATTCTACAATTTTAACGGAGATAATGTTTTCGCTTACAGACTTACATAATGTTTCTCACAGCAGAGCACTTTTTATATTTCGATCTCTTACGTCATCTGTAGATTTTATTGAAATATTTGCTTTCTGGGCTATCCTGTTTGTTGTTTCAGTGCTCGTATGTAATTAGCCGTGTTCTACTACTTTCTAGCGTATTGAAAATAAAAATGAAATTAGATGAATTGAACATAATTGTTATTATTGTTGCAATATGTTCAATCTTTCTCGAACAGTAAATTAAGCTCCGGCTTTTAGTTACTAGGCCCATTTATATTTGCACATCTCATGATCTCGTAGGTCGCATAAACTCACACTTAATAGAACATTCGAAAATCATAATTTCGATCTCTGTTGTCCCTGGGAGATTATTAAAGTCCTCAGCGGCTTCCTTCAAGTGATAAATATACCTAATATTACTGGTTTCCATCCGGGAAGAAGCAAATCATGCAATATCTTGACCTAGCATGGAAAGCGCTGTACCACACATCCGCTTCGCCTTCCCATACCGGAAGGGATTTCCATCCATGCTATGACAAAACTCATATTTGGTGGGGAGACGGAAGAATAATATTGTCTTATTTTGCGGTCTTCCTCAGCCCCCCCCCCCCCCCCCCCCCAAATGTTTAAATATTGCGCTGAGCCACGCTTGTAGAACTTTTATTTCTGGAATGGCAAACGATGGAGCCTGTGTTAAATAGTTCATGATCATGTATTCTAACTTCTAACAATCATTATAATATATCTATGAATAACTAAGTACATGGATCAGTTCATTACTGAGAAGCCGGTAGACGCTCACGTAGTCAAAAACCTGATCAGTATTTCCATTTCATCTCCCTGACAACCATATTAGTATCAGATATGTCTTCCCATTTCATCGGTCTTTCAAATAAACGCTTACCAATAGGATTCGCCCCTTTGTAAACATTTGGAAACGCATAATTTCTTTATTATTATTATTATTTATTTGACTGCAAATGGGGTTTTACTCGGTGGCAGTGGTCCTACAATAAGACACAACAAAACAATGACACAGAACAAAACAATAAGACACAAAAAACAATAAGACACAAAAGAACATAAGACACAACAAAAACAATAAGAAACAACAGAACAATGAGACACAACAAAACA